GTTTGAAAAATATCGCTGTATTAGAAACTACACAAACTATGTTTCAAGTTCCAAGACGCTGTGTTGTTTAGCAGCTATCAATAGCGAACGTTTTCGGTATTGAAGGAGATTGTATTGGAAAATGAACACAATTTTTTCCAAAATGTTTGTGTTTTTTTTTGTTTTACCGGATACTTTTGGCACCACCTTCAATAAGATCTAATTTTCTTTAGACGATTTCGTCAATATCATTGAAATTTTCCAACCAAATCAAATGAAAGAATTCTCAGAAGATTTTTCGCTTCAATCATCTTGAAAATATTAATATGATTTTCTTNTCAGAAGATTTTTCGCTTCAATCATCTTGAAAATATTAATATGATTTTCTTTAATTTCAACAGAAATATATAAAAGAAAATAGCCTAATAAAAGAACTCATACCGTAACTTGTCTTTTTATCTCTATCTTTCTTCCGGGAAAATTAGAAAATCATACAATATGTCCTGTTTTTTATGAAACATCTTGGTATATTGCACATATACCGAGCACTCGAAAGGGAACTTTTCAGACAATAATCTATTAAAATGAAAGATAACAAAAAATTCCAAAGTATTCACATCAGCCCATCGACATCCTTTTTTTTAAATCCGTTATAAATCTATTATATATTTTTTTAGTAGTCCTCAAAAATTTTGAATGCCATGAGAAAGCGTATGACTACATTGTAGATGTAATCTGTTATCATTTGGTATTAATTCAATACCTGGTTATCAATACGTGCGTGGTTTGACGTCACTTTCAACTTGTTTGTCATTGTTTCACTACCAGTAACTCAACTAGTATGAAATTAATTACATTATATGCAAGTATTCAATAAATATCAATCAAAAAGTAATTATGTTGTGTGAAAAAATATTCTAAGCAGAATAAAACGAAACAAAATTTTGATTCATAATTGTCAGAGATTCAGATGTACTATTCAATTGATCAATTTAAGACAAATTAGTTCTTGGGAAAACACTTTTTGACTATCTACTTCTACATCTTTATACAAAAATATGGGAAACTTTCAAAGGAAAAAAGCTGATATTATACATTTCTGATCATATGAGTGAAATATATTACGAAATGGGGGTGGTTTTTCAACCACATTGAGCTCCACAGCAGTTCATAGAACCAGTGGGATAGTTTCTCCATAATAACTTTTCGGGTCGATGGTTTGAAAAGAAAATTTCTACAGAATGATCACCCATATCCTCAAATTGGACTCTGGACTTTTGGTGGCTCTTAAATTGAAATCAATATGGGAATGACCACCGGTAGACAGCTGTTTCAGTCTATTTGGCGTCTTCATTACCGGGCAGGCGGTCCTCGATTGAAGACAAAATGTGAATAACCAAGAAAAGTACCTAATAAAAATAACTGCGTAAACACAAGCGAGACGTAAGTGGAACCACCACTTATTTATGTTATTGTATTCGAAGTATACTATGACGATGGAATAATAAATATTTGATTGAACGTTTCATGTCAACATGGCCACCATCCACTTTTTTTTAATACGGTCCTGTCTTTTTTATTACAGATATGGATAAAGCGATACATTCACGATCCAATGGTATATCACATTTGATATTTTTGTAGCGTTTTTTATAGAAGTTTTCATAAGACATTGAAATTTGACGAAATGTTTAGCCCATAAAAAATACATGGTTGAAAGACTCCAGCTATTGATCACAATTCGAATCTCCCTCCTAACCTCGTTAAATCTGAATTCAAATTGAAGCCGGATCAAAGTGCTTCTCACGTCATTGACATAGTAGTAGTCTTAGTAGGCTTATTGAGAATTTTATTTCAATGTGTAATAAGATTCTTACAAGCACAGCCCGCCCGTTCAGGTTTGACATCCGAATACAGCTTAAAAAAGTCTTATAAGTATCTCTAATCTTTGCCTGAATCCCTGAGGAATGCGGAATTATATTGTACCTTCTTCAATTACGTTGCGAAATAATACTTGATATTGACGTTTGCTTTTGCGAAATTTTCTGTAGTTCGATTTATCATTTTCACTTTTCTGAATGCTCTGAATCACTCCTTATTCTCAATAGACCAAATGGTTATACAAACAATTCACAGTAGTTAAACTGTACTGTAGTACTCTTCTCATCGCCCGTCTTACATATAGTTAGCGGCATTCTAGGACTTAACCAAATTCCGAACTCAAACTTAGCCTTTGCTTGCGGTACATCAGTGATTTCTCGGATAGAGATTATTGAAACATTTTTTGTAATTTTCAGCGAATTAAATGTTATAAACCTCGATGAATGCATAATTATGAAGTTGAAGTATTTATGGATTACCACTTTCATCAAAATATGTTGCTTCGAGTTTGCTTTTGATTATCGAAACCAAGCTCATCGAAGCTGGACCACAACTATTTTGTCTTGTGTTTTCAAAAATGCATTTAAAAATAAAGCAACAGAATAGGAGATGTAGGTACGTGAGTGGTGGGACTTACTGACCTTGTTCTGCAACCCGCAAAGGTTTATTGAGGCGTAAAGTTATGCAAACTATGGCAAATATATTCAGCTTCCCAAAAAAATCAATCACTTCATTTGGTCAGTGATCCTTCAGGTCAGATGACAAAACTCTTAGCCAAGTCTCGTAATTTTATGATTCAGTTGTCCTGTAAGTAGGTCTATTAGCCAATGTAGATCATCCCTGCTGTGATCTGACAGTTGTTTGGTGATATAATTCCAGACTAGTGTGACCAGGAATGTACACCAGACATAGTTTGTTGAGACTTCCTATTGAGGAGAGTCTTCTTTCGGTAGTTCCCTCTATTTGGTAACTCACCACCAACTTGGATGTTGCTTGCTGAGTATCAAAAGCTTTTTAAAGTAGTTTCAGTATTTCAAAATATATTTATTGATTTATGTATAAAGTTGGTTTCTGCTAATCTCTACACACAAATCCGTGGTGCAGAAATCTGCTCGAAGTATGGTCGCTTAGCTCCTACACCAGACCTGCATCAGAACCTGAAAGTGTTTATGATCTATCTATGAATTAACATTGTCCTACTTTCTCTGGCACGATTCAATGCTCTCTACTTGGAATAAGGACTGTATAAGGTTGTTCGTAGTTGACAGTTGGAGATGAGGTCGGAGGTCATTTCCTCAGAATACTCTTGACGTTCAGTATCAGCCAGTAGTCTGCTATGCCCGTAAAAGCTTAATTGCGTAATTGGCAATATGCACAGTTCTTCATCTTATCAACCTAGTCTTTCTCTCCAGAAAGATGCGGAGAAGAGGTAGTTTCACAATCAAAGGTGTGATCAGAAAGCTCCACCTGGTCCGTTTGCTGTAAAGCTTCCAATAATGTGGCATTTGCTCCGTAGGTGATCATTGGTCTGACAATCATCACATAAACCAATGCCTTAACCCCAAGATATTCTAGAAATTCCCAGTCTTATCCTTATAACAATACCTAGATTTTTCAAGGACTAAACACAAACACTATAAAAAATCCTTAAGGTGCGATTCACATTGTATTTGAATCGCTGGAGAATAAATCTATTTGGAAAAACGTTCTCAGGAATTTTATTCCACATAAACACAGTTCTCCAAATGAACGAGTTCTTAAACAGGGAAGTTCTAGGTGTACTGAGTTGCACCTCAAAACGATGAGCAGCCATAGTCCATCGCGTATTTCTGATATGTACCGCTCTTACTGGAATCAAATGTGCCAAGTCACTTCGAACACTTCCCGGAAAAGTATCTATAGAAGAGAGACAAATATCCAACCTTTCTTCGATGTTCCAGGCTATCAAGGTTGCATGTAATGTTCGCGTATTCAGTCAGGTGGATGGTTCTTTTTTAGATGGAATCCAGCAACTTCAGGGTATGTTTGGGGGCAGAGCTCCATACATGAGAACAATACTCCAAAGAAGGTCTGATCTGAGCTTCATAAAGCATCAACAGTTGCTGAGGTGTGTAAAGTTTTTTGGTTCGGAACAGTGTTCCAAGCTTTTGAGAAGCAGCCTTTGCAATTCCAGCGACATGATTGTGCCAAGACATATTGGTGTCCATTTTGACCCCCAAGAAACTTATGGAAACAGAAAGTGGAATTGTCTAACCCGGCATTATTATATCAAGTTCGGAGACATTTATCTTCTTGGAGAAAACCCATGCCCGGGTTTTTGTGGCATTGAATTGAACCTGGTTACTTCCTTCTCAATTCGAAATCACTTCTAAGTCCTCATTAAGATATGCAAACTCCTACTGCCGGTGAAGATGTGCCTCTGTAGCCGATGTCCTGGAATCCAAATGGAATGCTGCCGTCAGCAAAGCAATATATTGGATTCTTGGTTTTTCCAATAAGTCGTTGATATACAATAAAAATAGGGTTGGAGACAATATGGATCCCTGGGAAACACCAGCGTTAATGGTGAAAGTGTTCGAGAGGTATTCTTCGACAGCTACTTGCAGGGAACGTTCTTGCAGGAAGCTGGAGAGCCATACACAAAAATGATCATACAAGCCATAGCTTCGAAGTTTGGCTAACAAACGCTCATGCCACACAGGGCCAAAGGCCTCAGAAATATCAAGCCATGATTCTCCATGTTTCTCGATTGCGTTATTCCAAATATATACAGGCAACCTTTCTTGACCGAGTTCCTGCCAGGATTACAAGGACATCTGTATAAGCTTGCCAAGCTCCTGCTCTTCTATCGATATTTTATTTACAACAGGATTTCTTAGTATGCGTGTACTCTCAAGCTCTTTGGATAAGTACATATGATTTGCAAGATACATTTCAGTATCGCTCTAAAGCTTCGAAGTCTTCATCACTCAACGAATGTTTTTCAAATTCATACAATTTACAATAAATGATTTGAAGTTATCATGAAATATGCTGGGTAGAAATGTGAAAAAAATAATTTAATTATCAGATTTGGTACTATTATCTTTCTCCTACAGTATCTTGGAAAGTTCTTACATGAGATATGAATTTTTTTTCAGGTTCGTTGGTGATACTGAAATCGAAGTTCGTCAAAGAAATGACTACAAAGTTCGTAAAGAGGTTTAAATCAGTGATGGCTTGTGTCGCCATATTGGCTTTGGGTGCTATAATAGTCGTAGTGTGGGTACAGTTCAGTCAGGGTTCCTTCAGCAACAAACGACAGTTCACCTCTATCAATGCTACCACCCCTTCATATCAAGAGGATAAACGGATTTTCAACGGAACCAAGCATAAAGGTGAGTACTGAATTTTCGTCAACAATTTAAATCAAGATATTGGCGTTGCACTATAATGAAATCAGATGTGAAATCATATCAATATTATATTTGTCGAGAAAAATTGTCTGACAATGGAGAGAGTCATGTTTGATCGAAAACTGAAATTCAATAAATTCTTTTCTCAAAAATATTTGAGAAATATAAAACAGTAGGGGTTTTAACGATCATTCTTGCCCAATACCCAGGATCCATTGTCTCGCACATCGAATGGATCATAATAAATCAACTTCTAAATTATAGCAGTTCATCATCGGCAGACAGTATGATTTTGGCACACCTAATAATTTGCCCACGGTAATTGTCCCAAATACAATACAGGGCGTTACACTCGTTTGCCGAGTTGCCCACACTAACGTTTTCACTCTTGTATCGTATACAGGTTATATTTTCGGACATTCGTTGTATGTCGAGAACAATGAATAATTCCTGTAAAATGAACGACACTGGTACTACTACCTGTTTAGTTTTTCAAATTGAAATCCTTTATTTTAATTTTTCCGAACTCCCTAAAACGGTCGTTTTTTTCGAAATTTATTTAAAAGAATACAAAAAATTGAAAAAATTACGCGCAGTGATTTTATGTTACCGGTGGTTATAATTGAATAATAACTTTACTGAATAACGGAATTATATTTTGAAGAATTGCTGCATCTCAACTCAATAAAGGCAATGAAAAATTTCCGTTCCATAATGCTTTCCTCAGATACAAAACGAGCTGTGTTTTCAATTTGTTCACCAAATTAACCAGCTGTCGCACCCCTACGAATGACAACCCTCAGAAGTCGAAACTTGTACGAGCTGAGGATTAACTAGCTCTTACCTTTTAACATGTGATTCCTAACACTCACAAACATAACACAGAAAAGTTATACTCAGGATGATGAAAAAATAAGTGCTACCATGAAATTTCTTGAGAGTTTGAAGGTAGCTAACTTCGATTTTAACTAATCTAGGAAGAAAAGTAGGCGACGTTTGGAAAAAAATATAAATTGAGTCCGGTCGAACCAACATTTCCTCATAGGTATTCTAGAATTAGATGATCAAGAAAAACGTTTGTAATTTCACTTGAGCGCACAGGGCGAGAACCTCAATTGCAGACATTTTTAAATGAATATTTTATTTAGTTATGAAACTAGTTTTCCATGAAATGGCATCACAAAATAGTAGGTACCAAAAATCCTAACTGGGTGATACTCTGTGAGTGGTGGTATTCAGAAAAATAAAACGTTCAATGTGGAATGCTGAATGAATGCTAAATTGATGGTGGTCAGTTTGGAATGGAAAGGACAAAAGTTATATATGAATCAAATAAGGATGAAGAGTTGGAAGAAATTGTCGTTTTAGGAGCTGTTGAAAGTAATCTCAAAACGTCAACGCGAAATTTCAAAATATCAATAGACCTACCAATTCTCTTAACGTTAGAATTGAGGATTTCGAAAAAACACAAATTCAGGCCATACAGGACTAGAAGAGTTCATCAATTCAGACCAAGAGATCTTGAACGCCGTATGGCTTTTTGCCAGCGGTTCTTGAAAAGTTGTAATCGACAGACGAAGCTTGAACAAAATGTTGAACCCCTTGTTGATGAATTGCTGCTAATGGAGCTCAGAAAAATATATTTTCAACAAGACGGGGCTTCGCCTCACATCACTGAAAATATCCAATATTTTGGCTGCAAATTTTGGTAATAATTGGATACCAAACCAATGACCCAACCGTTGGCCGGACATGTCACCGGACCTAACGCCTATGGACTTTTACCTCTGGAGAAGGTTGAAAAATCTTATTTTCAAATTGCCGACCAATTTTAGATACGAATTGGAAGTGGCAGTGACGCAAAGTTTTGCTTCTCTCACTCCTATTGAACTAATTCATTCTGGACATTTCGAACACCTTCTCTGAAGAAATATATGTCATTGTCTGTTTTTTATCATTATTATTATTATCAAAATTTCATTTATTATTAGTTACAATAGTTTCATTGAAACTATACGTTTTAATTACTACTATGAAAAACTTTCTCAACATTTGTTAGCTACTACTGAACCATTTCTTTTTGTGTTATCGCCGCTTCGGTCCAAAGCCTACTTCATTAAAGTGTGCGTTTCAAAGTCTACATGAAAAAAGCTAAAAGCTCTATATTTCAAAGATGAAAGGCGAAACATTAAGTCTGTTACATTTTTGGAAAGCTAATTTTAAGCTCTATTGAAATATGTAGGAATATAAACGGTGTCTCATTGAAAAAAGTAGTTTTCCATCAATTACCATTGATATCTCATTTGAAAAAATGAGTTCTTCATATCAATAAATTTAATGTCAAAATGTGCTTTAGAAATGTTTTCATAGAAACAAGACATTTTTGACAAGAAAGAATTACAGCAACTTTACGAAAATGCACATGCTGTAACTCAGAAACGATGATAGATATCGATATGCGGTTTTCACCAATGAGTTTTTCAAAAAATTCTATACTCAGACACAGCCATCAGTTTTCATCTATCATTGTTGTGGAACTGGCCGCGGTGGTACTGCACACGACTCACGATCGGAAGGCCGTGGGTTCGATTCCCGCCTCGATCAGATATTTTTCTCGAGAGAGAATTCATCTGGTTGAAGCTGGGATGATTCTGCGACTGTGTTAGGAATCACACGTTTAAAGGTAAGGCCTCATTAGTCCTTAGCTCGCACAAGTTTCTCAACTTCTGAGAGTTGTCGTTCGTATGGGGGCGACAGCTGATTAACGGAAAAACAGATTTTGAACAGACTTAAACAGACCTAGTTTTCCTTCAAAAGTATCAAATTTGGCCCACTCTGAACATTGATTGAGATCTCGATATTATAACCTTCGTTCTCACAGTCAACGCAAATACCACTGATGATGTCTGCCGCAGCAGCAGACGAAACATTTGGCACAACAAGTTCCATTCGACTACTAGTACATATTTTGTTTTCTCTATTTAGAAACGGTTGAAAAACAGATGGGTGGGTCACATTTTATAATATGTTTATTTTAAAATTCGATTTAAATGATTTTTCAAATTTCCCTGACCTGATAAGATTCAACCAGCCTCAAACTCGGATTTATAGACTTTATAGGTATTTATAGGTACCTACTATGAATTAGTAGTAGTAGTAATTTTGAAACAGAACTTTTTCGGTAGAATAATTAGTGAGGTGCTTAGTACGAACACCCACAACGGATTCGACGCAGTTTCAGTTGATACGCAGTTGCAGTTCAAACGTTTGGAGATTGTAACCTAAAAAGACCACGGCAAAACCCGGAAACCAATCAAAATACATACTAATAATGTAATCACTGTTTCGTACCAAACTATTTTTTTATGCCTATGTAATATACATTAAAGACAAGGATTGATCAACACACCTCATTCGCTTATTGTATGCCATTCAGCTCACTCTTATGGCACCTGTTATCTCACGAGGCAATTGACTTTCTATTATACAAATAACGAAAATCAACAGACAAAATAAAATTATATGATAGAGATAGATGAATCTTCACGATGAAGTATTAATATAAATGGTCGTACCCGATAGGTAATGAAGTACTCGGTTCAAAGTACTGACTATCAATGCATCGACGACGCTTCTTGATTATAGTTATTTCGATTTGATAAAGTGTATATCCGAAGAATAGTCGATAATCATATCAATGCATTCGTGATAGATCTACGCTAAGATAAACTTTCGAACAATTAAGTATATTTCTTTGAACCATCGATTGTATGAACAGAACACAATTTAGAAATATCTTCGCGAATCTGTACGTTTGGGCCACTCTCTATCTCTATGCATAAACTCCGAGGTCTTGAGTCCAAGTCAAAAATAAATTCATTGGATGAATTCGATTGAAGCGAATTTCAAACAAATCGCACATGGGTAACAGTTCGGAAATGTTTATATTTGATTTTGTAAATTATGATTTCGTTTCGTTTGGGATATTTTTAAATCATGCGTTCACTTTTCTCTTCTGTTCTGATGTCATAAAACACATTCAAAATTGAATTTATTCTCGTATATTTTTATATTTATGAATTCATTATATTTTTGACCGATACAAAAAGTGAATTAAACACAAAGAGAATTATTATGGTACTTGAAGAGGTCTAAGTTATTTCTCTATTCAACCTATTATGAAGTCCATGATAAAAAAACTGGGTCTACTGAAAAATGCGGCAGTTATGTAACATTTCTTCTTTGGAACGTAGGCCAGATTCATTATCTACGAAGCCAATTACAGATGGGCAAAGTCATTTATTTTCAATCTCAAGTAAGTTAGCCTTGGACATTTACCTATTTGAAAATATTTTCTCAAACTTTGAATCTAATCATTAAACTGACATTTAGTTTCTAACGAAGAATAATAACATAAACTTTAAAAGGAAAACTTGTCAAAAATTGGAACTTCAAATATTCGTCACTTATTAACTAAGTGATATATGGTTAATTTCATTAGTTTGGACTTCCATTGTCTGATATTACATAAAATGATTTGAAATCTCTGGAAGGACTAATGAAAAAAGAGGAATTAAAAAACATGTTTGAAGGTGATTGACAATGTTTCATGATGAATTTCACTAGTTCGAACTTCCATTGTCTACTATGATTTGAAATCCCTGAAACAAGGGAAACCAGCAAATCAGGAATAGCAGACCATGTTTGGACCCATCAACACAACATCGAGTGGTCCCAAGCTGAGATCTTGCACAGAGAGGAACATTGGTTTAGGAG